CCCCCAGGGAGACCTTCTCATAGTAGGAGCTCAGCTCCTTGGAGGGGTAGAGTCTGGGGGGGTCGTTGGACACGGTGGTGGAGAGCGTGGTGAAGTAGTTGCTCTTCTCTGCGTGGATGATGTGGGGGTGGGTGTGGCTGGTCTTTGAGCTGGAGGAGCCCAGAGCCGGGACCCGGACGGGGAAGACCGGGTCCCGGCTCCGGTCCCGGTCCCGGTCCAGGCCCTGCTCACTGGAGCGCTGGATCTTGGCAGTGAAGGGAGCAACTTCGATGCTCTCTTTCAGGATTTGACGGTTCTCCTCTTTGTATTTAACGGCTCGGTCTGCATCCTAAGAAAGAGAAAAGAAATAATGTCAGAGGTGGTTACCGGCTATATTCACACAGAATTTCTCTAGTTCACACGCCAGAGTCTACATCCTCCCATCCAAACATTTCAACCTATTTAACATCTTATTCCACCCATTTAACAGATATACAGTATGTATTTCATTTATCTCATTATCATACATGTGTTTATCTGGAAACATGGCACTTCCATTGTCATTCTTATGATGCCCAGCTCTGGTTATGTTTGAAAGCGTTCAGTTACAGACATTAAGGTCTGTAACCTTTACATTCAGAGCTGCATTAAACCAGCTGAGCTTATTCCCGGAAACAGGCGTGTCTGTGATGGTCTGTGAGTGGCGGCTCTGCACCTGTGGGTTGGCCAGGCGGGCTTTACTGTGGGGCTCCAGGTACAGGCGGTGGAGGTGGGCATCCTTTCCTGCTGGGGTGCGGCTCCGTTCGGTCTGCTCCGGGTTCAGCTGCGCCAGCGTTAGCGCCCTGATGGGACCCACAAAGCTCAGCACACACACAGTTTCAAGTATTTCACTGCCTTTCAAACACGTTTACCAACTCACTAAAACAAACTCAGGAAGCTAGTTTGAAGAGTTGGCATCTTTTGGATTCTCCTCTCTGTGTAATTCACTTTGAAGGGAACAACAACTCGGATCAGGGTCTCTAACACAGTGACATCACAGCCTTAATGACTACATTTGGCAGTTTCAGAATTTTGATTTTCCCGAAAGTAAATAGTCCCCTACAAGAGGAATATCTACTTTACTTTAACAGGGAGGCAAAGATGAAGGTCTGTAATGCAGAACTAGATTTGTGTTCTTTCCTCAATACAAATGAGCTCAATTCACCCAGTCTAGGAACACAGATCAGCTCTGATTTCTTTCTTTTCTTACTCTTTATGAAGCCCCATGCTGGTCTTGTGCGTGGACGGGCTCGTGTGCGTGTTCAGCTTGACTGAGGGGCGGTGGGCGTCGGCACTGGCTGGCCGGACTGGAATGTGGTTGAGCAAAGCGAGCCCGTCTCCGGCGCTGGCAGCAGTCTGGTGCATCCACGGGCTGGCTGTGTTCTGCACGCAACATCCACAACACACTCCAGTCACCACCGGACAAAGGCTCTCAGGACATCACAGGGAAATGCTTTATGGAACAAACATGTGCTCATCTCACATCTTTCTCCTACAGGCTTTGTTCTCTGACACCTTTTACTAAACATCTAACATCATTTTTTATTCTACATCCAATCAGCAAGATCCAAGAGCCCCCCAAACTCTCAGTACGGGCTCATTTCATGTCAAATCTCCCATCTTAAGATCAGCCCAGTCTCATCATTAAAGGCTAAACTGAGTCTGATCAAACAGGACGGTTTACAGCAGATGAAGGGAAAGCAGTGAACTCTGAAGAGTTAACTACACGTGTCAGTCTAATTACTACAGTCAACTGACAAAACAAACAACGTCATGTTTGGCTATTAAAAGTCATCCCTTAGCGTTCAGGTGAAAAGTCACTGAAAGCCATTTTCATAATATTTCTTTATTATAAATCCCAGTGTACAATCATACCTTCCTTATTAAATGCAACACGTGATTCTATTTCAGTTTTTTATGTATGTGTGTTTTTAAGTCAAAGATAGCACAGAAAAACCAGCCAATCAGCAGGTCAGAGGTCAATAATCAGGAATAAAAGAAGGAAAACGAAAACCAGACACAAAGAAGGCTCACACCACATTCACATTCCTACATCAAACTATTCTGTTTCACATTTTAGTCTTTGTCCTGGCTTATGTTCATATGTTGCTTTAAAGTTTTGGTGACCTCTGGACGTGCTAGTGCTGTTGTGGAGGGATCGTAAGAGGAAAACATTGCTGAATTCACTAGCGATACTTCAAACGATTTAAAAGAAAATATGTATATTACTATCTATCTAGCATTCTAGCGTTTAGCATAACCATCTGTTAGGCCCTTCACAGACAACCAAGGACGCTTAATTTAACGTCAGCAGTTCTTAAAGGTCCTGTTTTGGATAGTGGGGGGCAGCGGGGCTCCCAGAGATGAGCTACAGGGCTGATAAATGTGCTGTTGTCTGTGAGCTTTGTGACTAATCTGTAACATCAGACACATTTAGAACGAGCAGATCCAGTGTGATGCTTCGACTTGAACTAATAAAAGCGGTCAGTCTGTCTCTTAGTTGGTGGTTTGGTGTTTGTGTGGTTTAGAAACATGTTAGTGTAAATGCAAAAACAGAATGCTTTGAAAACACGCACATACACACATCCACTAAATGTGCATGATCATGGTTTAGTCCTCTGATGTTCCACAGCTTATAAAACAAAGTTAAACTACTGTTCTTCCCAAGTTTAACCAATATTATTAAGGATATTAATGATGAATGCAAGCAAACATGATCACTCCTTACCACCTTAAAACCATAAAAAACTCTTTATCACCACAAAAATTACTAACAAAAGCAATCAGTCTATGTCTACTACTTGGAAGTTCGGTCCCTGTGTGGTTTAGAAACATGTTAGTTCTCCACAGCTTATAAACAAAGTTAAACTACTGTTTTAACTTTGAATGCAAGCAAACATGACCCCTCTTTATCCCCATAAAATGGTAAATGTTTAAATACAAAACATGATTGGAAGGTGACGGTTCATTTGTTTGCACCTACCCTCCGGAGGGAAGCCTCAGAATTCACAGTGACAGGATTTTCAGAGTGGACCCACTTAGCTGTGAGTGGCAGGTTCAGCCCTGGGGGGTAAGATCCCGGGGTCCCATTGGGGTACTGCCACAGGATGGGGTACAGACCAAGCCCCGCCGCCCCGCTGTGACCCTGAAAAAGAGGGCCGCTTTGTTTAATTTCACCTTCCAAAGTGACCACTGCTCAGACTCCAGCTGGCCTCCCCCACTGCCCCCCCCCCCTCCATCAGTAGGAACAGACATGTAGTCAGACCTGAAGGAACTGCTGCTGGTGTGTGGCTGCCGGGTGAGGGAGGCCCAGGTGTCCCAGACTGCCCGGGGACTCCAGCCGAGGGTGGCCCCCCAGGAGAGACGGTGCTGGAGGGGGCATAGCTGGGAGCATTCCGGGTGTTAGGAGGTGTGGGTGAGGTAGGGCCGAGGTGTGGTGGGGGGCGAGGAGGTGTGAGGCAGCATGGGGGTGTGGGTGTGATGCCGTGGGGAGGCAGGGGGAGTGGGGGGACGGGGGGTGCAGGGGGTGGAGGTGGGGGTGGAGATAAGCTGTCACGTGGTTAGAGGAGTTAGATGAGGAGGCTGACTTCTCTGTGTCAGAGCGAACCAGGGCGGGGTCTCTGTAAACAGTGAAGGTCTCATTCTTATCAATGATCAGCGGGTTCTTGCTGCTGTTGCTCGTGCTGTTGCTCGTGCTCACGCCACCCACCTCCGACCGCAGCGACACTGGCTTGAAACCAGAGCGCAGAGGCTCTGGGGGCTCGGCCTTAGCGGCCAGGCGGCCGGTGGGGGGCGAGCTAGTGTCTGAGTACCGCAGGACTTTCTGTTTAGACACCTCTGGGGAAGGGTGCGTTTTGGGTTTGGAGACGTCCAGCAGGCCCGGGTGGGGCTTAGCTTTCAGGTCGGCTAGGCCGGTGTTGGGGTGGGGGGGGTTCTGCGAGCTGTTGGGGTGCGGGGGTTTAGGTTTCAGAGAGTCGGGCTGAGCTGAGGGGGGGCTGGGGCCGGTCTTTAGTCGGGCAGTGTCGCTGGGGGAGGCAGTGCTGGTCTTGTGGGGGGCTGCGTTGGGGGCCGGCTGTTTTCTGGACTCCTCAGATGGAGGCTGGGGAATGCCAGGGCTGACGGGTGTGTTGTGTTGCTGTGGGTACAGGAGGTGAGGGGAATGGGCAGCCTTCTCCTTGTCCACCGGGGGCACGTGTTCAGCCAAAGACGAGACGGGCCTAAGGAACACAGAGCAGAGGAACCTCAAAAACATGTAGCATTCTGCTGTAAACACACAAATAAACAGCAAACAAACAGGACCAGAAAGAAACTAAACAAGAAAACAGTCGCTACTTTTCACAGGCTTAAAAATTAAAGTTAAAATTGAATTTAATTGAGAAAGTTTCAAGACGTATGGGTGAGTCAGTTTGCTGTGGGGGGAACTGAGGCTACATAAACTAGCACCAAACGCATCCATTTGGACAGGTCTCCAGACATGTGGGAAGGAGTGGATTGGTCCAAACATTTGACAGATAGCATATAGCCTTTGTTTATAACTGTTGAACTGGGATTCTGACACACAACTCTGCAGTAGCACAAGTAACAAATGTGCTATGTGTCTAGTTAGAACCAGTTTGGGTCCAGGAACTGTTCTCATGAAGGCTTCTTCCCGTTGAGGGAGTATTTCTCTTTCCATGTTCACCCTGTGCACTCAGCCTGGGGAACTGGATCAAAGTGGAGTTTGGGTCCAATCTGTTGGCTTCTTTAACCAGGAAACCTTTTTACTGGCTCTGTATGAACAGGAGAATATCCCTCTAAAGGGCCTAGAGGTGAATAAAACTGATTGTTTTCCATTTCCATTAGAAACATCCACTTGTGTTGTACAGCCTTATGAGGTTTCTCTACATATACTCTTTCCTAATACTGCGCAAAAACGTTAGAAATGTCTTTATTTCTCTAAAGGATGAAGAGTGTGACCCTGCCTTACCTGATGACTTCAGAGGGGGGGAACTCTGTCTTGCTGCCTAAGCTCCTGGCGGATGCGAGGCCACCTCCCATGATGCCTTGCGGCTTCATGTGGGGCTCCACCTCTGTCCGGCGGCTGGCCTCTGACGGAGAGGGCGAGGGGGGGACGGAGGGCGAGGACACGGGGGAGGGGTTGAGGGGGAGGTAGGGGGAGAGGGCGGTGGGCTCGGCCCCCTGCGAGGCCAGCAGGGCGGACACTGCCTCCGAGCTCTCCTGGTGGACCGTGGCCTGGGCCTCCTCCGTGATGTCCACCATGCCCCCCCCGCCCTGGAAGTGGGGCGTCTGGGACCTGGGCGGAGCTTAAACACAGGCAGAAGGCGGGGGTCAGACGGGGTCAGGCAGCAGGACGCCTCCTGCTGCGGGGGGGCCTACCTTTAGCCGGGCTCTTCTCAGGGACGCCCCGCTGGGGGGCCTGGGGCATCAGGGGGGGCTGCGGCGCCGGAGACTGGCTGATCTGCGTGACGGCCACCAGCTCCTCCTCCTCCTTGGTTATGCTTTTCAGCGCGTTCTTCTTCAGGTCCTCTGTGGACTGGAACTCCGCCCACGGAGACATGCCCCCGGTCACAGAGGGGGGGGCGTTCGCCTGAGGCTCCCTCATCTGGGGCTGCTCATCCTCCTCCATCTTGGAGATGGCACTTTGTATCAGCTTTAACTCGTTCTCAGAGCCGTGTTCTGAGGAGGACGAGGACGAGGAAGACGAGGAGGAGGAGGAAGAGGAGGAAGAGGAGGAGCAGGAGGAGTGGATGCTCCTCTTGTTGTGGGGGTTCTCAGAGTCACTGCTCTCAGACAGGTCGGACGTCATGTCTGTCTTCAGCCTCTTGAGGCCCGCTCTCTTCTCCTCTTCCTCACCTTTCCTGCGTTTGTTCATGGCCTGCTTCAGCTTGGACTTTGACTCTGGACAAGAACAACAACAGGAGATCAGTACACAGGGATGTGCGCTGGGGACTTAGAGGGAAAGGCTTTCTTCTGTGTTCTATCATTTGTTGAGGCTTTGCTCAGGAGCTGCGGGGGCCACCTGAGGAGCCCTCAGCCTTCAGCCTGTAGTCTGGACTCACCTGGGCCTGGCCCCTCCTCCCTCCGGTCCCGCTCCTCCTCTGGGGCGCTGCTGTCCGACCCCTTCCTCCGGCTGGGGCGGGAGCTGCGCAGCTCCCGGGGCTCCCGCCCGCCCCCCCCCGGCGACTGCTGCGACTGGCTGAGTGGCTGCTGGGCTGGATGCAGCTGGCTCTGGTGCTGGGGGGCCAGCGCTGCCTGGGAGCCCTTAGGTACGGGCCCTGGTGATGTCATCACCGGGCGGGGGCTGTTGGCTTGGGCTCTTGTGTAATGACTCTGTTAGAAGTTAGAAAAGAGGTAGAAATATGTCTAATCACCAGACACTTGTACAGTTAATATTAAGAATTACTCATAGCTTATTAGACGCCCCCCTGCAATCAAAGCTACACTACTTTACCTTCATGTTAGACCATTTGGAACGGAGCAGGATGATACTTATCCAAACGGGGAAATGATGATAATTCAGAGAAAATGGACAATATAGCAGACTCCACCGTTTATCACTGTGTGGGGTCCATTCTAAACTGTTTTGTTGCTCATCTTTCAAAAATCTGCTCCTACTTCTGAATCTAGGGTTGTGTCGATTACCAAATTAAACAGGATGGCGTTTGGAAAAACACCAACAATCATACAGACACAGATCAAAGCTGTACAGTAACACAGTTCCTCTCTCCACACATTAGAGGGGTTTATAAGTGAGGTTCAGCCAGTAGTGGGGGGCCCCGTGTTACTTCATGGTTTCTGCTTGTGTGGCATACAGATGTGGGCCTGAGCAGGTCCAGGCAAATGACCAGGACGGATACTTAATATTCACAGAGTTTGAGGCCTGACATTACAGCAACATAATCCTGTTCTCTCTATGTTCCAGTACAGGGTGTGGGACTGGTAGAGGGGAGGGATTTTAGGGGTACCTGAGAGTTGCCAGTGGTCCCGCCGGGTCTCCCTCCTGCCATCTTTAATATATCAACAAAAACAAGAAAAAAAAGAAACAAAAATCAAAAGAAAAAATATAATGAAAAATATGTTGAACAAATAGATAAATAAACAAATAAAGGACAAGGAGAGATTTAGTTAATGGCTGCGGGATCAGAATTGACTGTGTCTCCTGTGAGGCAAATCAAAACAAACAAAAACAACAAAAAAACAAGCCAAATCAACAAGAACAACAAACAAACTCATGTCACCAGCTGAGAAACAGATCCATCAGAGCAAAGCCCAGTGAGTGTGGGCTCAGAGAGGAGAGTAGCACCCGGTCTGGATCCAGACTCTGTCTCCAGACTACCTACAGGAGTCCCTACGGTGACTCTGTGTGTCCCCTCTACTGTCTGCCTTCTGGGGACCCTGTGCTGCTGTCTGTGGGCCCCCGCCCCCCCCAGGACGGCTGTGTGAGGGGGGTGTGACTCACATGGGCAGTGTTGCTGTTCTGGCTGGACCGTGACCTCCGTCTGGACGTGATGCCGATGTTTTCCCCCTTTAGCAGAGAGTGGACCACGTCATCCAGAAAGGTCATCTGGACCATAGAGGGATCCACATTCTGAGGCTCCAGCACCTGAACACACACACACACACACACACAGGACACACCGGATACTGGTCACACTTCAGCCCAGGTCTGGTCCAGAGGGCAGGTTTTCTCCACCAGAACCAGCCAGAGGGAGCTCATAAAAGCTGAGACAGCTAGTTATACTCAACTCTGAATCATGAAACAAAAAGCTGGCCCATGGGAACAGCTCAGTACAGAGCAGGCTGCACTTTACCACAGCAGGAATATGAGTGAAGGCCAATACGGACCCACGCATTGCTCTTAAGGTAACTTTTTTCTCTACGTATCAATCCCAGCTTACGATTTCAAACATTAAAGTTTAGTTAATGAGGAAATAGTCATAGTCAGAGCTGCGTGTGCACGTACCTGGTCGTTCATAACAACCATGTTTCTGCTGAAGAGGTCGTGGTGTGTAATGATGCCGGTGAACCACTGGGTGGCCGAGTCCTGTCTGTACACACGCACGCGGTAGCCATTCAGGGAGTATGGTCCTGTGGGCAGCAAGACACACATCCATCACTCCAGACATGGACAGCAGGATAGTGGGAAACTAAAGTCTAAAATCCTGAACTGAACACTGGAAAACAGACTAAAGATGCTTACCTTGCATAAAGATTTCTTGCACCTTCTGATCTTTCAGCCAGCTCTTCACTTCTTCATGGAGCTGAGGGTTTTCTCGAAACACCGGGTTCTGACTGTCCACCTCATCCTGAGACACACACAGGATATCAGAGCATCAGATACAGACCACAGGAAGAGTCCAGCTTTTGTTAAGATGACAGTGGGCTTGTTAAAGGCAGGTTTATCTGTACAGCACATTTAGTGTTCAGGACAATTCAAAGTGCTTCACAAAGAATTCAAAAGCAGAAAAACAAGAAAAGAATTAACAATTGGACAGATAAAGAGTGAAGGGTGAAGATAAATCCATCCAATTTCCATCAGCTCAGGTAAACAGATGTTTTCATCTGGATTTAAACATCCAGAGTTGGGTTCTGTCTCACGTCTTCAGGAAGACTGATCCAGGTTTTAGGAGCCTGGAGCTGAAATGAAGCTTCACCTGGTTTAGTTCTGACCCTGGGCCCCAGCAGGAGACCAGAACTTGGTTTAGTTCTGACTCTGGACCCCATCAGGAGACCAGAACCTGGTTCTCAGAGTCCAAATGGTCCATCTGGCTCTAACATGTCAGACCATGAAGAGACCTAAGAACTGGACTGATGTGGTCCTGTTTCCTGGTTCAGAACTGGACTGATGTGGTCCTGTTTCCTGGTTCAGAACTGGACTGATGTGTTCTTGGTTCCTGGTTCTGAACTGGACTAATGTGGTCCTGATTCCTGGGTCTGGTCAGAAAGCTGGACGGTGCTCTGCTGTGCCTCTATCCAGACGTCCACCTGCTCTCTGAGGTGTGAGAACAGCAGCAAGTCTCCTAAATGACAGCAGAGTTCCTTGAGCTCTGATCCCTCTCTGGTTCTGCCTCTCTCCTGAGCTGACTTTAGCTGTCATAGTAGGATTCCCAGCATCCTGCACCACACCAGGCCAGAGAAAACAGCAGTGAAATCCACTGTTCTGACTGACCCCCCCTATCAGAGCTGCTGCTGTCACTTTAACTTTGTGTTTTCATGACAAACCATGGTCCTGGAAAAAGCTGAGTCATCCACACCAGCCGAGCTGAACCTTGGAAAGCAGCCGTCTGTGTGTGGGTACTTGGACTGGTCTGGAGCACAGAGTGATGAGAGAGGGTGTGATCCCATCTGGTTCCACACAGTGGAACACAGTGTTCCTACAGGACAATACAACGGCCTGTCCCAGCCCAGGAGCACCGACCCAGACATTTCAGGCTCACAGAAAAAAGCTCCTCATAATTAAAATCCTCTGCTGACGGAAGCAAATTGGGAATGACTTGACCAACAAAAGAGATTTGGTCACAAGGTGTTATCCTGCCGATAGACAAAGTAAAGATGGCTGTTTTTAGCCACACAGAAGCCTTCTTCTGCAGCAAACAGAAGCTAGCTGGTCCATCTAAAATAACCCGTTCTGGACCCCAGATGAGAGAGTGAGTGAGCAGGCCTCTGTGATACAGCCTGCTCAGAGTCTACTCTCCTCTCACCAGACCCTGCCCAGACCTCCACAACACTGAGCTGACCAAAGGAGAGGAAGTCTGACTCAGGGGAAACCCAAAAGCACTGGTTCACCTGGTGAGAGTGAGTGTGAACTGAAGGGAAACATAGGTGTGTGAGTGTGTGTGTGTGTGTGTGTGTGTGTGTGTGTGTGTGTGTGTGTGTG